TATATATATATATATATATATATATATATATATATATATATATATGCTCGAAAGGCGAATGCGTCGACTTCGGTAGGCGGAGCATCGGACTCGTCCCGGAAGTTATTCTGCTACGTCACGTAAACAGGAAAGAAGCGGCCAGTTCAACGACAGAGACTAAACCAAATAAGCTCCAACTGCATCGTTGCCCAGTTTTCAAGGAGAACTTTTTTTTTTGAAGCACATTTCACGGGATTTGTTGACTAATCGTCAACCCCGTTGTAAACTTTTGTTACCATGACAACCTACTTAATCTAAAAGCAAACTCTGGGCGGGTTGAATGTGTGGGATTGTAGTCACTGCATGTTATGGAAGAAAAGGAATTAAGTCTCATCGACAAGAATATTTCAAGGTAAGCGCAGTTGTTGTCTTTTATGTAGTCTTTGCTGCATTCTAGTATCGAGCCACAATAGAATACTACTTTGGTGTTTAGTACATTCTTTTGATCGACGAGCTCAAAAAAAAAAAAAGCTTGAGTCAACCGAAGATGACTACAAAGATTTGTCCATTACTGTAATTCGTATTACTTTCAAATATTGTTTTGATTATGTTGTACTAGCTTTTTATTTTTTGTGCAGCATTTTCTCCTGTACCATTTATGTTCGAAATATTTGATATTTCTCTGCTCTTGTCTAGCCTGCTGGAGGTTCCCCTGCGTCCCACCATCACGTCACTCAACCTGCACTGCAACCGCATCCCAAGGATCGAGGGTCTGACATCGGCGTGGCTCTTGAGACATTTGGACCTCTCCTCCAACTGCATTGCAAAGATTGAGGGTCTCGCTTCTCTCACGACCCTGAGGACTTTAAATTTATCTTGCAATGCCATCACCAAGGTTGAGGGTGAGCCCACCCCATTATAGTGTACACCAGAGCGGCGGTTCTTGATCTTTTTGCGATATGAACACTCAGGTTTTTTTTGGGTTTTTTTTGCTTTGACTTGCGAGGGCAAACTTGACATTTCACAATAAGTAGCAGTTTGGCAAATAGTGAACAAAGAGTCTTCAAGCTGTTGATGGCACTCCCGGTTGAAATTTACTGTCACACTAAACATGAAACTTAAAACAATCACATAGCTTTGCCTTAGGAAAGTCCACCTCGCTTATGCTATCAAACAAGGGCAAAATGCCCATGGCATGCTAACGGGTAACATCAATCGTCACAAATGTAAAACCCTTTAATCAATGGATGTTTGAACATAAACGGTGGAGCAACAAGTGTAGACAGATAATGTAACAATACTCACAGGCATCTATTCTTTATCCTCTATAAAAAAAAAAACTAATATTAACTTAAAGTAGTTGTAGAAGGACTGAAATGATAAAATCACAATCCACAAATTGTTTAATTCTTTACACTCTAATTTTGGTCTTACTTTAGTTTTATAAATCACATTATCGAATGCCATGTTCTATTTATGACAAAGCCACAAACATGTCGATTTTGGGGGGAAGGCGGGGGGATTAATGGCATTTCCATTCATTTCAAGAAGGAAAAATGATTTGAGATCCACGTTTTCTGAGCGCGGTCACGGAACAAATTACATTTTTATTTCACAAGTAAAGGGTTTTTTTTTTTGTCCAGCCACTGCACAAGAGAACACTTTTGCTGGAATGTCTTGGGTTTTTTTTCTTCATCGCTCTTTTGTGACCCGCAGGACTGACCGGCCTGGTGAATTTAACAAAGTTAGACTTGTCCTTCAATCAGATAAATGACCTCAGCGGTAAGTTCAGGAGGGACTTTCCAGGACCAAAATTGTCTCTTATTGGCAGTCGTGGTGATTGTGATGTGCCCGCCAGGCCTATTGCACCTCCACGGCCCCGGACGCAAACTCAAGCACCTCAGTCTCCATAGCAACCGCCTCGGCAGCATCGAGCACCTCCTGCAGAGCCTGCTGGGATTGCAGGGTTTGAGTGAGGTGCTTTTGAGCCACGGCGGCAAGGACAACCCGCTGTGCAAGACGCCAGGTGAGACCGTGACTGTCATTACAATCGGATCCTCTGACGTTTGTTTTGAGGAGCTTGCCTCGCTGGGAATTTCTTCACAACAGTGTTTCTCAACCTTTCTTCAGCTCAGATGAGGATCTCGTTTCAAGTTACTCACAACTTGACATTCTCAATGTCAAATCTGTTTGTTCTGCGTGTCCTTATAAGTCCACTGTTTTGTTTTTTTTTGTTTTTTTTTTTTTTATTATTGTCACATTTCCTACCTCCCATCGCTGTGCTGACATAACCAAAGAAAAAGTTTTCAAGATTGATATGAGCTGAGAGAAATTCAACTTCACTGGTTCCATGGTATTTATTTACTATTTGCAGTGTCCATCGATACGTGCGTGTTTGGTTTGTCACAGGTTACCGTGAGATGGTGATGCAGTCGTTGCCACAAGTGTCATTTCTCGATGGCCTGGATCGTCTAGGACAGCCGTCATATTCCACGGCTGACAGTCCGTGTGACATACCCGGGCTGGAGAACTATGTGGACCTCCTCCTACTCTCCGATGCTGGCAACAATGAAGTGGTGAGTTGAAATATCCCCACGGTTTTTGATCCCTTGAAGCTGAAAAAAAACAATGTACGGTAATTAAACATTAAATAGAGTACAGCAAATCCTGAAATGTACAGAATGTAGAGAGAAAATGGATTGCCTTTAAAATGTGGTCAAATTTAAAACAGCTCATATTACAATTTGACCCATTGAATTACCATTACTACCGTTGCTACTGTGATATTTTTGTCCTTTCTGAAATATTTTTTAAAATACTTGTTGTTTTGTGTTATGGTAATTGATATATCATCTAATTTGTTCATTTCTGAAGATTTTTGTATTTTGACGATGTTTGGTATCTTGTTTAATATTTAAGATATTTGTGTATTTTTCATCGATTAGCTTTGTATTTTATATCTAATATTTTTTGCTCAAAATTTTCAACAATTTCAAAATATTTTCCAATATGTGATATTCCATCAAATATTTGTCAATTTTTGTCAAAATATTTGGTGTTGTTTCCCAATAAATGTGTATTTTTCTGATGTTTTCTGGGTTGTCTAGAATTGTCACTTTTTTTCCAGATTTGTACATTTTTCCTGTTTTTTTTTTTTTATTTTGATATATATTTATATTTTTTTCATGTAATTTTTTTGTATTTTGTCGAATAATTTTGTGATTTTTTTTCAACTTTGTTTACATTTTTTGTAGTATTTGATAATTCATATTTTTAGATTTTTTTTATCGGTATTTGGTGTTATTTTTTTACTATATTTGTATATTTTGGGGCATTTTCTATCTTGTCGAATATTGTCATGTTTTTTTGTTTTTTTTTGGTCTACTTTTTTACTTTTTTGTTCATCTTTTTTGGGTGAAATGACCAAAATGTACATAGTGTTTCATGTTAAATGGAAAAAAATGCCTTCCTTGTTATAGGATGCTCTTTTGACCACGCCCAGTACCAGGGAAGTTCTGACCCACTTTGGACATAGCGTCACCCCTGAAGCCTTTGGCGATTCAGTGGCAGCACCCGATGGGCAGGGCATCCAGCAGCTGCAGCGGAAGGGCCACTCGCTAGAGGTCGACCCAACACCGGCCATGAATGAAGAGCAGGTCAAGAAACTGGAGCTGCAGGTGTCTCGCCTTCTTCAGCAGGTGCTTTTGTTTAGAACAGTACACACGCTAACCTTGTAGGAATATTCACAAACCAAAAAGTTCCACATTTAAAGCAAAGTAAGTAAGAAGTAATGAATTAGCAATGAATGGGATCATTCTCATGTATTCTTTGACTCAGGCTTCTGCAAGGCACAAGTCCAGTCAGCCCAGCCGCTCTGCAGTTAAAGCGCGGGCAGCCACAAATGACACGGACCGCACATCGGAAAGCGATTGTGACAGCGGCAAGGAAAACGGCGCTCGCTCCGCCATCCCAAAATATCGGAAGCCTGCATCGACGACGACGACGAGCAAGAGATCAGACAGGTGATTTGTTTGCTCCACTTAATTACCGGGATGCATTTTGTTCTGGAGTGAGAGTATTTCGTGGCATCATGTCACTTTCACTTTCAATTTCACTGATTCCCGAACCCCCAATATCACCGGTAATATATTTTTCATCTGGTTTGATTCCCTCCATTTTGCCTTCCGCACAGCGATCAGGAGAATCTTAAACAGAGGGTTACAAAGTCTGCCGTCAGGTGGTCTTCCGGCACCGTCAAAGGGGGCGTTGGCGCATCAGTTCCGAAAAGGAGGGTCACACCGAGAGCCGGCAAGGAGACGATTGATGTGAAAACCAAGTCTAGTGAGGAAGAAACCTATAAGGTACCTTCTGGATGTGTATTTCCCTTTATGTGTTGGCGCCCTCAAATTTGCATTGGCACCAGGCTATCGTGGAGGAGCGGGACCGGGAGAGAGAGAGGCGCTGGAAGGCCCAGCAGGCCGTCACCAAGTTAACGGACGAACTGAAGTGCCTGAAGACCAAAGTCAGCGAGGAGAAAGACCTGCAGAGTATGGCCATGCACACCACCGACAGGTACGACATGCCACATTGGTTACACTTCCACAATTCAACGGTGGACTAGATTTGATTGTTATCCAATTTAACAGTATAATAATCTACTTCTGTAGTTGAACCCGCAGGGGTGGTCAACCTCTTAAGGTGACGCAGCAAAAAGTCTGCCTCACTTTTAGCAGTTGTGGATGTTAACAGCTGTTAAGCTGGTAATGTGCTCAATTTAAGGTATGTGACCAACCAAAGATAAAGACAACACAATGAGCGTACAAGGGGCCTTGAGATACTAGTTCAATTCGTTCCGTGACCACGCGTGCAACTCAAAACACCATCTGAAATCATCTTTTCTCATTGAAATGAATAGAAATGCAATTAATCCGTTCCAGCCTTCCCCCAACAACACAACAAAAGTGGTTGTAATGTTTATTGTAATATCGTACTTTAAAAAAAAACAAAAAAACTACATTAATGACATAATTCAACAAAATTTGATAAGCTGTTATCTGGGACTGAAAAGGCGGGGCCTGGCCTGGTGATTGACGTGGGAGTCGGCTGGCTGTTACCCGGCGAAACTGTTGGGCACTCGGCATCTTGGGCGATAGCATATTTGCTCAGGCTAATATTTCAGAGACATGCGACAATCAGGCCTTTGCTGACTTGGATTGGAACAGGTGAAAATACGGCCCGATAAGCGGTATGTGCGGATTTCAGCACAATGATTTCACCTTCAAAATGTTGTTTGACTCCAGTCTTCTGCAGGATTTTTGATTGAGCTCCAAATTGCAGCACTCTCTGGGACTCCACTTCCCAATATCGCAATCGCTCTCTCTCCACACTGCGATGCAATTTGGCTGAGACTCTTCCAGCTGCACCGCGAGAGGAGCCAGGCAGTCAGTGTGTGCGCAGCACAGATAAATCACCAGCATGATCCCAATTAGGTGCATGGTGGCAAGCATATGGCAGCACTAGTGACTGCATCAGTCTGCGCCCTTGCTGTCTTACTGATGGCGCGCACGTTCATCGCGTGCGCATATGTGAGGTGACTCCATGCGGGCTCGGCAGCAGGCCCAAGAGGTACACGAGAGCACACTGAACTATTTGCTCAGTCACACTTTCACTTTTTTTTTTCTCCTCATATGTTTGTGCATTTTTTATAAAAACTTGTTTCTTTTTCAACCTGTATTTATGTATTTTGTCGAATATTTTTGATGCAAATATTTTCCTTTTTTTTGTGTGTTTGTTTTAATATTTTTGTATTCCAAATATTGTGTTCGTAGTTATGATATAGAGTCTGAATTTTTACACATGAGACGCTTCATAAAGTGATAGGCGTTATCATTTTCTGTTGGAGGTGGATCAATTTTGTGGAGTAGTCTCCCTTAAGTGGTTAAAGAAGAGTGACTCGTTTAAAATTGATGGGTCATATGTTTCATATGGCAATGAAAGCGTCACGCTTCCAAAAAATGTCTCTTTTTTCAGATGAAGCGGCAGCAGGAGCTGGAGAACAAGGTGGTGGCTCTGAGCCGCGAGTTGGACGTCCAGCGAGCCAAAGTGCAGCAGCTGCACGAACTGCTGGCGTGTAGGGAACAAGAGCACAGGTGCGCCTCCTCCTCCTGGCTTTTAAAAAAGAATAAGACTCACGACTCCTCCTTTACATGTCCGTCGTGTCCCTAGAAAGCAGCTGGAGTTGCGGCCGCAGCCAGGCGGGACGGACTTCCTGGCAGCAGTGGCAAGAGAAGTGGCGTCTGAGAAGCAAAGTTACACTCGGAGAGAGTCTGAGTTGAAGGATAAAGTGGAGGAGGGCAAGAAAGCATACGCGGCCCTGGAGGACGAATTCCGCATGGCGCTCACCTTCGAGGCCGCGCGCTTCTCTGAGGTCCGCTGATCAACGTGGACGTGTCGTACGATTCCCGTCCCGCCATCGCATCTTGCGGGTTATTCGTGACAGCCGTTTCGTCGCGCAATGGAAATGGATGAGTCATCCCAACGTTTGCCTGCCCGCTCGCGCAGGTCAAGAAGGCGTACGACGAAATGACGGCAGAGCTGCCGGAGCTCCGAGTGACGCTGGCTCAGTCGCGGCAGGCGGAGAAGAAATCCGCCTCCCTGGCGCAGGAGCTCGCGGCGCTGGTCGAGGAGCAGAAGAGCCGCATCACGGAGCTCATCAACGCAAAGAGAAACGCCGTGACTGAGTTCAAGGTAACCGAGGGCTGAAAATCAAAAGATCCGAAGAGGAATGGATAGAATGCTGACATTTCCCCCGTCTCCTTCCAGAGGCGCGCCCGGGCCCTTGAGGCCGACCTGGATCGGGACCGCCGTCTGCGCCTTCAGCTGGAGGCGCTCAAGAAGGACAAAGCGCGACTGTCGTCTCAGCTCGGCGCGCAGGAGTCTGTCATCGATGGGCTCAGGGCAGAGAGGAGGCTCTGGGGGCAGGAGCTCGCTCAGCAAGGTCGATGAAGAACAATCAATCGTGTTTGCGGACATACGAGGAGATTTACTCGATATTGTGTTTATTCTAATAGAAAAAAAATGTTGGTCAAAAATGATCACCAACACCAGTTGTACTTAACGGCACGAAATTGGGTGGACAAGTCTTAACCTCGCTGGGGCGCATGGAACAAGTCTCAAGCCCCCAGGCTCGTAGACTGACTGGCAAAACACATACGGTACGCTTTCATTCGATTGCAGACCCAGAGCGACTCGAAAAGAAAGAATAAAAAATGAATCCATCAGGGTGTCAGTGAAGGAAAACAACTTTTCCAACGAAGCCTTGGCTTGCGAGCCTTGTACTGTAGGCAGAGAAGTGATGGAGATGAAAGTATAAGTGATGTGAGAATGAGGCAAAGCAAGAAACGGATGGAAGGATTACAAAAGCAGATCTGAACGATCGGTGGATGAGAGCCGCACCCTTCACAGGAACATTTGAAGAAGGCTCAGATAACGGCAACACAGAGCGGGGAAAAGCTGGAAAGAAGTCTCTGAACATGTGATTTCACGTTCAAGAAGTTAGGAAGTGAACACGGAAACCATCCTCAATGGAGGTGATGAATTGCCAACAGGACGCATCCCTTTCTTGTTTATGTCCTTACCACAGGAGCATCTCTGGCTCAGGACCGCGGACGTCTGGAGGCCAGGATCGAGGCACTGGGCGCTGAGGTGGAGGCGCAGAAGAAGCAGATTGAGCGGGACCACGACGCCCTCCAAATTAAAGCCAAAATCATGGAGGATCAAACCGAATCCATCCGCAAACTCAAAGAGGTGCGTGCAAGTGAAGCCAACACGCAACGGGTACGTTACGGCCTCTCCGCGTTCCGTAGACGCTGCAGGAGCGCGACGAGCAGGCCCGCAGGCTCCGCGACGACAACGCCCAGGCCGAGAAGACGTTCCAGCGGCAGCTCCGAGAGGAGACCTCTCGGCTGTCAGAGCTGGAGGGGCACGTGCGACGCCTCAGCTTGCGCAAGGAGGAGCTGAAGCAGCAGTTGGCGGACAAGGAGGCCCAAGTCGAAGAGGTGAAACGAGTTCACGGGTAAATTCACCGTCATCTCGCGTCTCTGATTTTGTCATATGAAACAGTTCATACAGTGGCGCCGGGACTCATTCGTTGAATTTGTTCCGTGACAATCCTCAAATTTCACGTGATTATCGTATCTCAAATCATCTTTACCCATTAAAATGAATGGAAATGTCTTTCATTTGTTCCAGCCTCGCCCCCCCAAAAACAACAAACATTTTTTTTCTAAGGTGTTTTCATAAGTAAAATCACATTTTATAATATTGCACTTGACAAAAACGTACACCTGCGGGCAGTATAATTCAGCAGGACGTTGCGATTTCCCCCCTCCCTCTCTCTCTCTCTCTCATTTCAGCGAGTCGACTAAAAAGTGGCACGAAAAGGCTCAGCTGCTCACTCAACTGGAGAGCCAAGTGAAGCGCATGAAGGAAAACTTTGAGAGCAAGGAACGCACGCTCCTGGAAGAGAATGAGCAATTGACCGAAGCGCACGGGTGTGTTTTGTGCCGAGGTGTTGGAAAAGAGGAGCTCGCCTGATTAAACTTTAAACACGGTGTGACCTTTTTCAGAGCGGCGGTGGAGAAGCTGCGATGCATGGACGACGCCTTTTGCGCGCAGCTACAGTCCCTCCAGGCCGCCCATCAGGCTGAGCTGCTTCAGATGGCGAATGACAAGCACGATCGGATGGAAGAAGCCAATCAAAAGGTAAAACCGCAGATTACTAGTCGCTTTTCTTCTCCTTCTCTTCCAACCCGGAATTTGGTGGGTTTGACTACTGAGCGGCGTTAGAACGATCCACCGAAAATAATGACTTGCCGTAGTTTTAAGGTAAGGTTTGCAGAACAGAAAATTCCGATTTCGGCTGCGGACTTTCCGTGTGGAGTTTGCATGTTCTCCCCATGCCTTTGTTGGTTTTCTCCGGGTACTCCGGTTTCCTCCCACATTCCAAAAACATGCAAAGCAGGTTAATGGAATGTCCTAAATTGTCCCAAGGTGTGAGTGTGAGCGCGGGCAGTTGTACGCCGATGTGTGCCCTGCGATTGGCTGGCAACCAGTTTTGGGTGTACCCCGCCTACTACCCGAAGACAGCTGGGATAGGCTCCAGCACCCCCCCGCGACCCTTGTGAGGATAAGAAAATGGATGGATGGACGGATTTTTAGGGAGGGCTCAACGATTCACACTCTTTTGCTGTTTGCAATCTCCTGGAATAGCTGCACTTTGACACTCTTTTTATTTTTATTTCAGGTATTTGAAGTTGAAGAGGAGATGCGTCAGTTGCTGCTTGAGGTGGAAGCCAACAAGAGGATCACAGAGGAGAAAATGAAACGCCTTAACAGTGTACTAAAAGATTTGAACTGGTAAAATATATTGGTAATATGTCATCGCAACTGGATTTTTTATTAACAGTGTACTAAAAGATTTGAACTGGTAAAATAAGTATATTGGTAATATGTCATCGCAACTGGATTTTTGTTTTTTTACAAGTTAGTTTATATGAATTAAATGATTTTAAATGACTATTTTGAGTGAGTGCTTTTCCATATGTAAAAAAAAAATCATGATAATTTAACTATGCTGAAAAAAAGGGACTAGCTCAGACTAGGACGATGAGCAACAGGGGGAGACAGAAAGGGAAGCCTGGCAGTTCGCCCACCTATCTATCTATCTATCTATCTATCTATCTCTCTCTCTCTCTCTCTCTCTCTCTCTCTCTCTCTCTCTCTCTCTCTCTCTATCTATCTATCTATCTATCTATCTGTCTATCTGTCTATCTGTCTATCTATCTATCTATCTATCTATCTATCACAAAAACCAAACATGAAATGTGACGTATCTATCTATAACAAAAACCAAACATGAAATGTGACGTAAGACGCGTGTCCACGGGGTCTCTTATGCGAAAGTACAGGGGCAGGGTCACTTTTGAGTGGGAGTTAAGCGGGAGGCACAGTGACCCGGGTGGGACTGTGGTTGGCCTGGCAACAGCAGGCCAACGTAACGCCTTTTCATTTAAAGGGGCGGAGAGAGGGTAGAGAGAAACAAGACCGACAGGTGAACTGATTGTTTAGTGTGGAGAGAGCTCTTTTGGGGGAGTTTTGTTTTCATGAACAAATTGTCATGAAGTGAACTTTGACGTTCGGAGGGAAAGTAAGACCTTCCAAAAAATGGAGTGCGAGACGATAGACGCGGCTCGCCCGGCACACACTCGCCACGAGAAAAGTTTGGGGCTCCTCACGATGAAGTTCGTTGGTCTTCTCCAAGAGGCCAACGATGGCGTCCTCGACTTGAAAATGGTCAGTGTAAACGCCTGTAAACTGTTTTTCTCGGTTTTTCGGGAGGTGCGGTTCACCCCTAGCGGCAGATGTGAAACAAAGAGCCATCAGTCACCCAATCAAGGGGGGGTCGAGGGGTCGCCGGCTGGTCAGGTGGACCGCGCTATATTCAGGTGTTGGAGCCTCCAGTACCAGAATAACCTTTTCGTGAGAAATGTTTCATTTTAAAGGATACATGAAGTGTTTAGCTGTATAAATCTATTCAATTGGCAAAACAAAAATGTCCGAAAGAGAAATGTCCTGTCGTGCCACCATCTTTTAATTTACTTAAAGGGATAGTGTGTAAAACTTAGATTTTTTGGTGATCATTATTTTTTTAAAAACACTCTTGGTTTCAATAATATACAAAAACACATACTCTATTTTTTAAAGGAATTGTAGGTGCTCTATTTTTTTAAAATGGAATTGTAGGTGAAGTCATTGCTAATTTATTACACTGGATGCGCCTCTACTATCGGCTGCCAATTTTCACCGCAATCTTTCTGCTACGGATACCCTCAGGAGACAAACTTTTAGAACGTAATTCGTCAACATGATGTAAAAGCACTTTTAACACGGTTCCATGCATATACTCCGTCACTTGATGGAATTCAAGAAGTCGTTTGGGTTGACATTATACAAACACCTCCGCTGACGTAGGTGGTAGTAGGCTAATAAAGCGTGCTCTTTTGCGGCAACGTAGCGCGATTGCTTCAAAATGGACCGCTTCGAGCACGGGTCGTTGAATTCTATTAGTTCACCACTAGATGGCGGTAAATGCTACACCCCGCCCCTTTGCCCTCTTTTTATCCCATTTCTTTTTAAATTGGAGAAAGTTTGTATTTCAATTATTATTTTAAATAATCGAAACCCACTCCATCCCTTCTGCCATTGAACAACTAACCGCTCTTGCCAACAGGTTTAGCTTTCTCTGTGTTGGGCTTAATTTGTCAAATCCTCTCTTTGAATGCCTCAGTGTCTCTGATTTCATCCCATTCTGGCAGTATTAATTTGCCAGGTAGTCTCGGTGTTGGTGGCGTTGCAACATGGTCCTGTTAAAATGTTGCTACCTCCACATTATTGACACTTGTTTGTAAATCGACAGGCCGCAGACAGCTTGGCAGTGAAGCAGAAAAGGCGCATATACGACATCACCAATGTGCTGGAAGGCGTGGGCTTGATTGAGAAGAAAAACAAAAATGTCATCCAGTGGAGGTTTGGGGAAGAAACAAAAGCATGTTTTTGATTTGAAAATTGTTCTTTATAGGAGAAGTTACTATATTTCCACCAATAGACTCATTCATTCTAAGAGACCCCAAATAAGTGTGGGACAAACGCATCGATTTTCAAAATGTGAGCAACCCCTTCTGGTTTGCTCTCTTGCAGGGGCGAGAACAAGGGAAGTCAGAACCAGGAAGTTCTTGACCAGGTTAGGCTTCTGCAAGCTCAGATTTCTGAGCTGGAAGCCCAAGAGAAAGAGCTGGACAAGCAGAAGATCTTGCTGCAGGAGAACAAAGAATTCATGAACCACGATTCTGGCACAAGCAAATATCCTTGCGTCGTTGGTGAGGGTTTATCAAAGACGATGCTGGAAAGCAGAATGGAAATGTATCTTGAAGAGGTAGCATCACAGTACCTGTATGGAAAGAATGCCGGGACGGAGGTGAAATTTAACCCCCGACTCTCACTTCTCCAACCCTGTTGTCTTCAACAGGTCAACAAAAAAAAAAATAAAATAAATATGTTGGGTATTATTTGACAGTGTCGCTCTGCAGTTATAGGCAAAAAAAAAAAATAAAAGAAATATGTTGGGTATTATTTGACAGTGTTGCTCTGCAGTTATAGAAATATCCCACTTTCATTGATTTCTGTGCAAAAACCAAAGATGGCTGACGTCTTCTTTTTATTCTGATGCAGCAGTTTTTCAGGAAGAGGTCATTGATAGATATTGTCACTCAACAATTATACATGGTCATGTTTGTCCTCTTTGGGACTATTGACTCAGTCATTTCACGCTCAAAACAAAAATCCCATCTTGATCCTCTTAGCAGAAAACTGAGAAAATGTGCTGAAGAGCGGATTAGAAATATAATTGCTATTGTCAGATAGTTTAATCCCAAATTACTCCCGGTCTTGTTTTTCTGGTTTTGTGTGTGCGTGTCTCGCTGTTGCATGTAATCCTCTTTGCTTAACACTTCCTCACCTATACGTTTGTGACGCATGAGGACATCTGCAATTCCTTCATGGGTGACACTCTCCTCCTCGTCGTGGCTCCGTCTGGGACGCAGCTGGAGGTGCTGCTGCCAGAGAAGGTCGCAAAACTTTGAAATGGACGAGATCTCCAAAGCAAACATACACACAATTTCTTCCATTTATCAAATTGCATTTTGATTGTTCCGAATTTATTTTGTGTCTCAGGGCCAAACGGGTCACAAGAACTACCAGGTGAACCTGCGCAGCAAGGTGGCTCCCATCAACGTCACCCTCATTAACCAGGACTCGGACCGCAGTGCCCCCGTGGTCTTCCCTGTGCCTCCCACTGACGTGATCTGCCCCCTGCTCACGCCTCCCCTCACACTGTCCGCCAGCTCGCACTGTCTCCCCCTCTCCACGGCCGGCCACTCCACCGGCTCCAGCACCACCGCCTCCTCATTCTGCAGCCAGGACTCGCTCAACTCAGACCAGCAGATAGCGCTGCCCGAGCACGATGGCGCGCTGAGGCCGGCGTTCCCACATTCACCCATCGGTAAGACCTCTTTGTGTGCAGGGGGGAATGGAGTTGTTCGAAATGAAACACATGTTGTTGTTATGATTTAAAATTTTAGTTTAGGGATAGTTTACAATGACATAAAAGTATGTGCTTAAGCTACCAGCGCTGTTGCCTATTTTTGAGTTGTGTGGGGGGGTGCTGAAACACCCCTAAATTGAATCCTAGCACTCGTAAAAACTGATGTGTGGGTAATATACATATTTTTAAATGTCATTTTAAATAAGCTACGTGTTTTAAAGGGGTGCTCACGCATTTTTTTTTTTTAATAAATGGGTGTCTGCTACTGCTGTCTACATTTTAGTGTAGGTTTGTTGAACTCTTGAATTTGGGGCAAAAAAAATGCCTGTTTAGGGCCATCTTCAGGTTGAATGCAGAACTACACTTGAATTTGGCTTTCTGTCGTCTGATTGGCCTATCAGGAAATCAAGATTAAAATGGCTTTTTTTCCCTGCTAATTTTGACTACTGTACTGGCGTTTTTTTAAAATCTGTCCAGAAGAGGGCGCACGTCTTTTCCATTCCAAGCAAATTTTCAAACCTTTCACTGCGGTGCCTTGCAACTGACACAATAATTTTGCACTTTTGTTCTCTCCATTGACAGTCAGCTTCTGTCCAATGTCATGCTTTTGGCCTTCTCCTTTGCAGGGTGTCCCGATCAGCCGACAACTGTTTTGGAGCTGGAGCAGATGGACTTTGCTGGCCCAGAGTTCCAGTCTGTGCTGGGCATGAGCAGCCTGCTGAGGCACAGTAGTGTCGGGGAGCACATGAATGAGGACAGTGATGGTACTCTCTTTATTTTGTTCAAAGGATGATGTAAAAACAACATATTTCCCCATGCCTGACTATCGAGCAGTCCATGTGCTGTTCCAGGAAAGAAAAAAAATATATATACTTTGTTGCAGAAGCTGTTGGATTCATTGATGAGTTGCTGTCTACTGATGGTAAGCATGTTTAAAGACTATGTGATGTTGCCTCTATTGTGTGTGTGTGTGTGTTTTATTTTCCAGAAAAGGTTTTGATTATTTTATCCCCCCCTTCAAAAGTATCCGACTTTGTGTTTGTGCTGTATTCGTTTAGGCATGGACTACAGCTTCACCCTGGATGACGGCAGCGTGTGTGACGTGTTTGATGTGCGGGCCCTCAACTACTAACGAATGAAGCTCAGGGAGTACACACCTCCATTCTGTCCTCTGACTCATTTTGGACTTTCAATACGTTATTTATGAAGTTAGTGTGCCTCCATTCTCCCGTTGAAGGTTTACAGGGTAAAAATGCCTGCAGCATTCGGGACTGTGACAGTATTGATAATATCCACGAAATGTCGCTCGTTCGCCTCGTTTGTGTTTGGTTATTTATTGCATGTAGGTTGTGCTGGGAATCCTAAATTAATGTGCCACTGCCATTTTAGGCCTTGCTGTTTCGGTTTCATTATGTCTTTGTTTTGGATTTGGCTAATCATTTGAAGTCTTTAAAAAGCAATCATTGTTTGATGCTGAATCTGCCTTATTTGTCATGTAATTGGCCATATTTTATTTCATCTCGTTTGCCACCTAACTTGATTGCAAGAATTCTTGATTTGCTCATTTTGGGGAATTTTTTTAATATTTTTTTCAATAAATTTTTGAAATCTCAATTCAGTTGCCTTCTAACTTGTGGGTTTGCGGATGTAGCACTCTTGATTCCAGCCACGTGGAACCTCACTCTATTCACTTCATCAGTCCATGTGTGCATTGCCTTATTTTGAGGAACAGTTTCTTATTTTCAAGGAAAAATAGATCCTCAAGAGGAAAAATGCCTTCCCATATGAGAAAAAAAAAATCCCCATTCCTTTCACCTCCCATCATGTGTATTGATTAAAAAAAATAACTTTAGAGTCAACATGAGTGCTTGTTCCAGGTGTGTTTATTCAGCAGTGCATCGCATGTGATAAGATACAGTATACGCTCGAGAGGATGTTTGCACACTTCCTGAACATTCCCATTTCTTCACAGCACAATATCACCTTCTTTGAAAAGCCAGCAGGAGAGAAGGGGACGGCACAACCAAAGTTGAGTCAAGTCACGCTATTGCAATTGGCGAGTTGGTGCCGTCGTCGTTTGGCTTCGGCTGTGGAGAAAAAGCAAAAGCGTTTGAATCGTAATCAAGTCAAAAAAAAGGATGAAGGTAAATGTTTGACAAGTTGGGATATTTGGGCCACACTGAACAGGTAGGACGATTATTATATGTATAAGGATGGAGAGATGATGACGAAAGGGTACCAAGGTCACGGAAGGAGGACGGACCAGCAAAATAGGGTAAAGTGTAAATTTGTTACCTCAAAAATATCCACCCTGTTTGTCTCGAATCATTTACTTTTGATTAATGTTAAATTTCAGATAAAAAGTGGTACATTTGCAGGTACACTTTTTATTTTAAAAATTCAACTTTTTGAG